AAAGTCCATATAAACTGCAACAATACAACCTTAGATCAACCAAAGTCCATGTAAACTGTTGTGTGGAGGCGCTGAGAGCACCAGTGTGGGACCCTAGAAGAGGAGGTTCTGGGGAGCTCTGTGCATAGAGCAGGTAAGTATAACATGTTTATTATTTAACCACCCTCCGCCCGCCATGTAGTAATATGACGAATGCAAGGCGGTTCTCTCGTTCTGGGAGGACGTCATATGACGTCCTCCCCATTCTCACCACGCATGCGCAGCTCAGGGAGTGCGCAGCGCGGCGATCGGCGGTGCGCTGTGTCCTTCAGACACAGCGGATCATCGATCATGGAAAGAGCTGAAGATGTCGGCTCGGTCATGTGATCAGCTGTGTCCAATCACAGCTGATCACATGTAAACAGGGAAATGCCGGTTATCAGCATTTCTCTCCTCTCGAGCTGTCACGCTGACAGATCGAGAAGAGAGGAGAGCTTTCCGCGGAGGGGACATGTACACTGATCATCAGGGCACTGATGACCAGTGTGCCCTGATGATCAGTGTAGCACCAGCAGTGCCACCTGTCAGTTTCCATCAGTGCCTTGTGTCAGTGCCTCGTGCCAGTGCCCATCAATGCCACATATCAGTGCCTACCAGTTCACATCAGTGCCACCTATCAGTGCCATCTATCAGTGCTGCCTTTCAGTGCCCATCAGTGATGCCTGTCAATACCTATCAGTGCCACCTACCAGTGCATCCTCATCAGTGCCACCTATCAGTGTCCATCAGTGCAGCCTATCAGTGCCCATCACTGCAGCCTCATTAGCACACATCAGTGAAGGAGAAAAATCACTTATTTACAAAATTTTATAACAAAAACTAAAAAAAAAACTTTTTTTTTTTCACAATTTTCAATGGTTTTTGGTCTGTTTAAGAAAAAAAAAAAACCCAGAGGTGATTAAATACCACCAAAATAAAGTTTTATCTGTCACAAAAAATGATAAAAATTTCATATGGGTATAGTGTTGCATGACTGCACTAAGAATGTTCTACTTTTTTTTTTTTTTTTAGCGCACACCACATCAGTTCAAACTATCAGGGTTTCCCTCAATTTCAATGCCAGTGACAGAAGTCACCTGGACAAATAAAAAGAGTGAATCTCCCCAGCAGTGACACAGACTACAACCTGTCGTACCTGACAGGGTTGCCAAACTTTCCAAATTCTATCCAAACATTTTATTTATTTATATTTTTAATTCTGACATTAGACACTTTAAGCTTTCAGCACTAAGGTAAATGTCAACATGTAGCTGTGCATGTTATGCCGATACATGAATATAATTGGTTCCGTCTTTGTTCGTGACATGCAGGAATATGTCAAAATACTCATTTACATCTCACAAATCCTGGTGTTAATTGTAGTGATGAGTGTTTGCTGACAGGTATAGGAGGAACCATAATGACACACACATTTCAATAGACTTTTGAGAAACATGAGTACTCTTTCATCATAGAAATGACTCAGGATTTACACACAACTGTTCTGACTTTTCTCTGAGTACATTGTGGAACTTTTCTGAATGTGCAACTCAAGAGCACAGTTCAAAAGATAAAAAGCAGAGGTCATATGAGTTTAAAATATAACTTTTTTTTTAAAAGAGTAATTTCATTTATTTTAATTTTTTTTTACCCCCTTACCTCTCTAGGCGAGTTCTGCACAAAACAAAAGTGAATGAGTGAAGGTGTGTTGAGGCTGCTGTTGTGTACAGAGCCATTCAAGACTGAGCTCTCGCTTTATAAAGCTCGCGTAAACAGCTTAATTGAAATAAATGTTAGCTGTTACTATGAAAAACGATTTGGGTTGGTATATACAGACAGACATGTAATATGGCACATTGGTGTCAAGTCACATAACATGCAGTACTTTCATTTCTGTGTTATGCTTATTTAAATACAAGGTTGTGGAATTCCCTTTCCTTGGTTTCGGGAAATGTGCCTGGGCAAGTGGGAAAATGTCACCACACTGTAAGCAGCTTCCTGAGTCTCTTTGCTGTCTCATGCAGTCTGCTGCTCCTCCCCAAATCCTCAGATTATTATGCCGCTCTACAAAAACATCATCATTTTATACTTTGCTGCACTTGCACATGCTGCTGTCTTGTCAGTCCAACCCTTTAGTTCATTCAAAGAATATATGGAGATTACAGCGTGTGTCATAACAATGTCCTGAAGAGTGATGTTTTCCAACACTGGTAAATTATCGAGGAGCAATGGATTGCAAGGAGAGAAGGAAGAAACCACCCTCAAAGCTATGCACCTATCCGCTTTACAGCTGTCCTACAGATGGGTGAGAACTCAAATTTGGGCTTTGTAGTGGGTGGGGGTGATCCATAGAAGCTGGTCCTAGGTAACTGGGACAAGGAGGAAGGTTTTACTGCTGCTATGAGGTAACGTTGTTTTGTCTTGTGCTTTTGGCATGGTACTTTGCATGAAACAAAAGTTCAGTAAGTTTTACATGGTGGGCTTGATAAACTGATTGGCTGTTGTTGAGGAATGCAGAGTGTTGAGTGAACACCTGATTGTAGAACAATGCATTCCACATAAACTATTATGTTGCAGTATGTATAGTTCATTAGGCTTAAAAACCAAGATCTTGACTGTCTTGCACCATCATCCTTTCAGCGCAATGCTGCACACCTCAATTATGCACATTATTGACAAAATGACTTTCGGAAAATTATGTATTTAGTGCAGATGATACTACTTTCCCCCAGCACTTTGGGATTTTGTTTACAGTTGACGCACTAGTTGCATCTTCTCGTTCAAACCTTTCAGCTTGAACAATTATTTGGTGCATTCCATAAATCCATGTTCTGTGTGCCAAATATTTGGCAAACCATCAACCGTTTGTTGGGCCCAATATGTTAAGGTGCACAAGGCTACCAGGGGAAAGCTTAGGTTTAATCTGTTGCAAATTTGACATTTAATTTCAGGAACATTTTCTGCTGTCTGGAAGGCATATTAAATACCGATTCCACCAGATTTCAGAAATTACCTGTGTTACTTAGAAAAATCACCTTTGTGTGCCTTCCTGAAACTAGTTTTAAAGCAGAACTTTACCCATAACAACTTGATAAAAAGAAATGCTCTATAACTTGAAACATACATTCCACATTAATAATTATGCCACCAAAATTAGTGTGTGCTGTAAATTGCCCCCAGCATTTTTCTTGTTTCTTCTTGCTGGAATCCTCCAATTTGCTGAAGGCCAAAGTTCTAAGCAGCAGTAAACCTTTAGGCTGTCGGCAGATTGGCCTCTACATTTTTGGCACAGTGAAAAAAAATAGAGAGAAAATGGGTATGTGTAGAGCAGGGTGAGACAGTGTATTACTGGATTTTAAAGTGTTACAAAACCCAAAACAGTAAAATCAGTGTGTATATGCAGTAAAGCATGCTTGTTCTACTCACTGTAGAACCTGTGGGGTTAGTCCTCCACATTATGTAAAAAGACTGTTTGATCATATCTTCTCTGCTCCTCCCCTTCTTTTACTGTCCCCAATCCACCTGCTGATAGTACAGAGCCCTAGGAGACGCTCTGCACATGCTCGTGTATGTATTGCCGGAGAGTTTTTTTTTTAGTTTTTGTTTAGGAGGGTGCATGCGATTGCCACAGGGCCAGTCATCACTGTCCAGACAGGCCAGGGCTCATGCAGGACCAGGGGTTATGCAGCCTCATAGGACAGTCAGAGGAGAATGAAAATTCCTTCTACAAGATTGGCCAGTGCCCAGCCAGAAGCTGATAGAAGTCACAAGATTGCTATATACTGCTGATGAGAAAAGGTATTTAGCGGCTTGTGAATGATCTCAAGGCAGTTGGGACCACAGTCACCAGACATACTATTGGTAACACAATACACAGCCATGGATTGAAATCCTGCAGCGCCCACAAGTTCCCCCTCTTCAAGAAGGCACATGTACAGGTCCATCTGAAGTTTGCAAATTAACATCTAAATTATTCTGAGAAGGATTGGGAGAAAGTGCTGTGGTCAGATGAGACCAAAATTGAGCTTTTTGGCACTAACTCAACTCACCGTGTTGGGAGGAACAAAAATGCTGATTATGACCCGAAGAACACCATCCCTACAGCCAAGCACTGAGGTGGAAATATGCATTGGGGCTGTTTCTCTGCTAAAGGTACAGGCCGACTTTGCCACATTGAGGGGCCAATGGACCGGGCCATGTATTGTAAAATCTTGGATGAGAACCTTCTTCCCTCAGCCCAAACACTGAAGATGGGTCGTGGATGGGTCTTCCAGCATGACAGTGACCCAAAACATACCGCCAAGGCAAAAAAAGGACCTATTCACGATAAAGTACACTAAGGTGATGGAGTGGCCTTGCCAGTCTCCAGACCTTAATCCTATAGAAAATCTATGGTGGGAGTTCCCAAGTGACAGTCAAGAAACCTTTAAGGATTTAGAGAAGATATGTAAAGAAGAGAGGACCAAAATCCCTGCTGAGATGTGTGCAAACCTGGTAACCAACTACACAAACGTCTTACCTCTGTGCTTGCCAACAAGGGTTTCTCCAACAAGTACTAAGTCACACTTTGCTTCGGGATCAAATTTATTTTACTTACTGAACTGCCAGTCAATTTTATAACATTTGTATCGTTTTTTTTTCTGGATTTTTGGTTGATATTCTGTCTCTATCATTTAACCACATGCCTACAGGGCACTTATACCCCCTTCCTGCCCAGGCCAATTTCCAGCTTTCAGCGCTGTCGCACTTTGAATGACAATTGCACAGTCATGCAACACTGTACCCATATTAAATTTTTATCATTTTTTTTGTGACAGATTAATTTTGTTGGTATTTAATCACCTCTGGGTTTTTTTATTTTTTCTTAAACAAACCAAAAACCACTGAAAATTTTGAAAAAAAGTTTTTTCTTAATTTTTTGTTATAACATTTTGTAAATAAGTGATTTTTCTGCTTCACTGATGTGCGCTAATGAGGCTACAGTGATGGGCACTGATAGGCTGCACTGATGAGGAGGCACTGGTAGGTGGCACTGATGGGCACTGAAGGCAGCACTCATATATGGCACTGATAGGTGGCACTGATAGGCGGCACTGACTGGCACTGATAGGTGGCACTGACTGGTACTGATGGGTGACACAAAGGCAGCTCAGATGGGCACTGATATGGGGCATTGGTGTGTACTGGTAGGCACTGAAATGTTGCACTGATGTGGCACTGATGGGCATTGGCAGGTGGCATGGATGAGCACTGAGAGCTGGCACTGATGGACACTGACAGATGGCACTGCTGGGGCTACACAGATCATCAGGGCACACTGATCATCAGTGCTCTGATGATCTGTGTTCATGTCCCCTCAGAGGAATGCCAATTACCGGCTCTGCTCTCCTCTTGAGCTGTCAGCGTGACAGCTCGTGAGGAGAGAAATGCCGATACCCACCATTTCCCTGTTTACATGTGATCCGCTGTGGTTGGGCACAGCTGATCACATGACCGAGCTGACATCTTCGGCTCTTTCCGTCGATCGGTGATCCGCTGTGTCCAAGGGACACAGCACACCGCCGTTTGCCGCACTGCGCGCTCCCCCGGAACGGCGCATGCACAGTTAGAATGGGAGGACGTCCTATGACGTCCTCCTAGAATGAGAGAACCATCATGCTCGCCCGTCATTGTGCTATATGGCGGGCGGGAGGCGGTTAAAATACACCTATGATAAAAAGTATAGACCCTAAATTTCTTTGTAAGTGGGCAAACTTACAAAATCTGCAGGGGATCAGATAATTATTTTCTCCACTGTATCAGGGCCCATTAGTGCTGCCTATGAGTGCCTATCACTGCAACCTCATCAGAGCCTCATCAGCGCACATCAGAGAAGAAAAATTACTTATTTGCAAAATTTTATAACAGAAACGAAGAAAAAGGTTTTTTTTTTTTTTTTTTTTTTTTCAAAATTTGTAGTCTTTTTTTTTTTTTTTTTTTTTTTTTTTTTGTTTAGCAAAAAATATAAACCCCTGTGGTAATCAAATACCACCAAAAAAAGCTCTATGTGTTTCAAAAAAATTATAAAAATGTCATTTGGGTACAGTGTTGCATGACCGGTCAATTGTAATTCGACCGCACTGAAAGCTGAAAATTGGCCTGGGTAGGAAGGGTGTGAAAGTACCCAGTGTTAAAGTGGTTATACAGTATAGGCACATATTATTATTGTTTTACATAGCTGTCACAGTACCCCATGCTACCCTGCTCCTCCTTCTCCCCCCCCCCCCCCCCCCCCCATACCTGCACACTCCACTGCTCCCATCATCTGCCCCGGCACCCGCATTTAGCCCACATAATCTGTGTGCTGGGTACCAGGGAACTGCCCCCCCGCCCACTGAGCGCTTCAACATCTCACCTCGGCTGAGCTCGAGAAGTTACCACATGCAGGCTACATGCCCGTCGCCGATCGCCCCCTTCCCTTATCTTGGCAAGCACAGCGCGGCCCCGATGTTCCTGTGCTCCATGCTCGCTGGAGACAAAGACCACGCTTCCTGTGCGTGGCTGGAGCTGAGGTGGGCATGGCGTGTTGGCCCAGCAAACCAACGCCAGGGCTTGTGTTTTCTGCCAATGTTATAGAATCATGCTCCGGAGATAAATGCCAGAGTGAGGCCCGGGTACCGCCACTTTTTCCCCCTGTTCACTGTTCTCCTTCCCCCTACGGCCGTGCTGTGAAAGGTCCTGTGCTGCGGCCAGACCCCACAGCCCCTTCTCCATCCCAAGACCCCTGGACCTCCAAGGAGTCTGTCTGCCATGTCACTGCTACTGGCCCCTAGCTCTCTCCAGCACAAGCCCTCTCCACTGCTGCCAGAGGCCTGCCTCTCTGCTGTGTGCCAACCCCTGTGTTCAGAATTTAACCCTTTGTCTACTGGAATTCTGCCATCCCTGCTGTGTGCCAACCCTGTGCTACGGATTTAATCCCTTTTCTGCTGGAGTTCTGCCATCCCTGCTGTGTGCCAACCCTGTGCTGAGGACTTAACCCTTTGCTGGAGTTCTGCCACCCCTGCTGTGAGCCAACCCTGTGCTACAAATTTAACTTCTTTGCGTGCCAGAGTTCTGCCTCTCTGCTGTGCCCAGACTGTGTTAGGGACTTAACCCTTTGTCTGTTGGAGTTCTGCCATCCCTGCTGTGTGCCAATCCTGTGCTACAGATTTAACCCCTTTGCCTGCCAAAACTCTGTCTCCCTGCTGTGCCCAGCCTGTGTACGGATTTACCCTTTGTCTACCAGAACTCTGCTATACCGGTCATGTGCTCCTCGCTGTCTTTCAATAAAAGCCTTGTGTGTACTCCTGCTCTCTGCGTGTGTTCTGTCCCAGCTACACCTCACAATAGCTATACCTGCAAAAGGGGCCAGTATGAAGTGATATAGCATGGCTTCATTTTCTGACTAAAGTTCCACGTTAATGTGTTACCTAGGCCTGACTTCAGGTCTAAGCCCTAACAACTATCATCCATGAGAGTGTGAGAGTATTGGCCTGTAAGGGTTGTAAAGTTCATGGCTACTGTTGGGGCTTAGTTGGGAAAGTCAAGCTTCTAATATTGAAATGAAACAATTTTCAGAGCATAGAGGAGGTTTTCTGGCTAACACAGGTAATAGCAAGCATCTTGTGTTATGTGTTAAGGCGCGGTTCACACTGTCCTATTGCATGTGATTCGCACAGGAGTTGCACTGCATTCTTGTAGAAATCACATGCGATTCTGTGCGGTACGATTTGATCCCATCATTTTGTATGGCTCAAATTGCACCGCATCCGCACGAAAAAGATGCAGGCACTTTTTTTTTGCTGCACTGCAATTGGATCGCATGAGTGTTCATACCTGCACTGCATTCTGCGACCTGCTTTTGAGGTTTTGTTAACTTTTAATTGACACCCGCAGCAGATCGCATAACAGCGACTATCCCATACCTGCATTTCGGGCCTTACTTCTTGGTTTGGGGCATGCATGTGCTGTCATTGGACACAGCACGAGTTTGGCATCAGATTTCAGCCATTGTTTTTGGCTGACACCAGCTGATCGGCTGTGTCCAATCACACACAGAGTTCTGTGTTTTCAAACACAGACAACTCTTGTGTGCATAGGAACGGCGATCTGGCTGTTACTTCTCCCTGAAGACCAGGGAGGAAAAATAGCCAGATAGTAAAGTAAAAGCAGCACATATTACACATTATGTACACGGTTAACCCCTTGATTGCACCTCATTGTTAACCCCTTCTCAGCCAGTATTATCACTGTATTAGTGTCACTAGTGACGTCCATGTCAGCGACTCTCCCAGATAGCATCTGTTAGTGCCAGAATGCCCGCCACCCTATCACATTCCCACTATAAGTCGCTGATCACTGCCATTACAGTATAGCATCTATAGTTGTGTAAATTCCAGTATACAGTATGTACCATAGTCTGTTGACGCTATAACTTTCGCACAAACCAATCAATATACTCTTATTAAGATTTTTGTTTTAGCAAAGACATGTAGCAGAATACATTTTGGCCCACATTTATGAAGAAATTATATATGTTTTTTAATAGAAATGTAATTTTTATTTTCCAAAATTCTTGGTCTTTTTTTTTCATTTTGTATAATAAACAATGAAAAACCCAGTGATGATAAAAAAAACACACCAAAAGAAAGCCCTATTTGTGTGAAAAATTATAAAAATGTAATTTGCGTACAGTGTTGCATCACTGCGTAATTGCCGGTCAATGTAGCACAGTGCTGAATAGCAAAAAACTGCCCTGGTCATGAAGGGAGTAAAACCTTTCGGAGGTCAAGTGGTTAAACCCCAGTGTGCATGAGGAATGAAGTGTTTATTGCTTGGCGTTCTCTGATCTGGTGGATTCTGTACTTTGTCACTTATCTGCAACAAAACTGCAGATTGGGAAATTCAGAGTCAGGCTAGGTTCACGCCTCTGCATGTTGCGATTTGATGTGCTTTTTTGGCACGTGCTGTGGTGCGTTTTTTGCATTTTTTTTTTTTAACACACATTTTGATGCGTTTTCAAAGGGGGTAAAGTATTAGGAATGCCAATATTAGTATAGGAAAGTATTGACTTTTAAGTGACTTTGGATGGGTGTGATTTGGATGCAATTAAACATTTTTGGCACGGGGTTCCCCTTAAAATCCCTACCAGAACCAAAGAGCCTTTTTTAAAAAAAATGTTTTAAATAAACATTTTTTTTAATGTCGACATTCTTTTGTTTACATTTAGCTGCCAGTGGGGAATCCTGCTGACAGCTGATGAGCGATCGGTTGTTAACTGCTTCCCAACCTCCCTATAGCAGAAATACTGCTACAGGGTGGCACGGATGTGCAAAATCACATGATTTGCAGTCCCGCGGTTTTCGCAGGCTGGGGGGGGGCGCACACGCGCCACTGCTGGTGCCGTGATTTGATCCCCAAGGGATCAATCATCCAATTTAGGCCAGTGATGGTCGGCCTATATTGGATGATCGATCCCTGTCCTATCAGGGATCTTCCTGTACCTGTGTTTACAGTTACACAGGTACAGGAAGTGATGAAATCTCTCTCTGGGCACATTCTGTCCCAGAGAGAGAAGAATCAACACAGTGAGTAAAAGCAGCACACTTGCACACAGAACACTTTAGGACACATTTAACTCCTTGATTCGCCACCCATCAGATAGCATTAGTGTCAGTTAGCACCCCTCCCAGATAGCATCAGATTGCCCGTCAGTACACCAGTAATCATATTTAACCCCTTGATTGCCAGGAACACGCTCATATACACAATAAACCTCCATTGCTAGTATAGTGTCTGTGCGGATCAATATTTTTGATCAGATCAGCAGTATACCAGTGTTCACATTTGTATAGTGTCCCCAAAAACGCAGTGTTAGTGGGATCAGCCCCGGCACCTGCCAGCACCTGTGTTTAGCCCCTATGCTTATGCCCCCCTTTCTCCCCCCAGCAAGTGCAGTGTCAGTAGATCACTGTCACTTGATACATTACACACAAACCTGCAGGGTTTGCAGTATCAGGGCTGATCTCTGTTAGTACTTGCCAGTAAATTTTTTTGTAGCGGTTCAAGCAGTCCCTGACAGCCAGGTGCTCTTTTTCCCATGAGTCGCACTAGGTACCTATAAATTTAGTGGCCAAAATGTCAGTGGAAAGGTACGCTAGTGAAGAGGCCTACAGGATTCTAAGCATGTCAGGTGAGAACAAAGGGGAAGACTCACTGACACAATCGGCCTCAGAATACGAACCTGTAGACAGCAGGTAGCTCAGATGATGGAGAAGAGGTCCCTGATAAGATCAGGCGTACCCGACCCCATTCCCAGGTTGCTGAGATGTTACAATTGCATGCTGACTCTCATGCAGCAGTGTGCCAGTGCTAGTGCCGCTCTACCTTTTTTTGTGAACTGGCGAGCACTAGCGGCCTAGTACATCTTGGTCTTTCACATACCAGCACTGCAGTATCAGTTGGTGATGTAGCGAGTTCTAAGTGCAGTACAAGATGGTGCAGTGGCGAGCACAAGTAGTGCCCCGCAGCCACCAAGAATTCGCACACAGGCCCATAGAGCCTCTAGTATCCTTCCGGATGTGCTTGCAAAGCCTGATTGGCAGCCAACAAATTCTGCAACACCCGTACTTCCCTTCACTGCCCAACCTGGAATCAGGTGGAAACAGCAAATTTAAATAGTCCCCTTGATTTTTTGAAGCTGTTTTTTTCATGGAAGATCTGTATGCATTGATTGTGGATCAAAGCAATTTATGTGCACAACAATTTGTCACCGCCCACCCAAATTCAAACCTTGCCAGACCATTCGCATGGAAACCCATTATGGTTTCCGACTTTAGTGTTTTTGAGCACGAAAAAATAAAAGGCCCACAGGTGATAAAATACTACCGAAAAAAGCTCTATTTGTGTGGAAAAAAAGGACATAAATTTAGTTTGGGTACAGCATTGCATGACCAGTTGCATGCAATTACCAGTTGAAATAGTGCAGCGCCGAATAAGAAAAAAAGGACTGGACCTTAACAACCATGTTGTGCCCCTGCAAAGTCCCCCAAAACTGTCACATTCAGATGAGACTTTCATGCAACTTTGTGTCCAAAGTCGCATGTTAGGGTTAAGGGCGAGGGTTAGGGTTGAATGTTAGGGTTAGCATTGTAACTCTAACATTTAATACTAACCCTAACATTTAACCTTAACCCTAACCCCTAACCCTAATATAAAATGTTAACCCTAACCCTAACGTGACTTTGGATACATTAGTTTCCTGCACTACTTTGATGTGACTTTACACTCTTTGGCACTAAAATAGCCTCAAAGTCACATCAAAGTGACACTACATGATGAAAACTGTCATACTTTTTTATTAGCAAAATAAAAAGTTGCATAAAGGTCACAGCCATCCATAGTTGTATCAAAGTTGGAAACATCCTAAGTCGCATAAAAAAAAAACCCCTCAAAATGCATAAAAAATGCAGCACTTGTGTTTTTGATGCTTCATTGAAGTCTATTGTACAAAAAACACAAAACTCACAGATGTGAACTAGATCTATAATAAATAATGTTAAGTAGACTGTAGTGCTTTTCTGCAAACTGGAAAACGCACTCAGAAACGCTCAAGTGTGAACCTGCGATTTGAAAACTTGTTTCATGGTTTGTGACTCAGAAAAAAATACTAAAAGCATTAATCCAGCATGCTGTAGATGCCCATCCCCCTGTCAGCATAATACTGTACTTCTCAGTACATTCACATGTTGCATACCTGTTTTAACTGGGGTTGGGCTTCAATTTGTCTTTCTCTTCTTTTTTTTTTTTTTTTTTTTTTTTTATAGAAGATATTACTGCTTATCTTTTAGGGCCAGTTCACACTACATGCATAGAATGCATGAAGGTAAAACACCTTCAGTCTTTATAACCATTTTAAATTATTATTACTATTTGAGTTTATTGTAAACAGAACTGTGTTGCTAGTTTAATAAATGTGTTTTACATTTCATTCTTCATGCTTATCAAAATGCAGTTTTCAAGTCTATCCTACTTTGTTCCTGTGTGGTAAATAATGATATTTTTGATCCACAGCACATACAGTGGCAAAGTGTTTCGTGTCACCTTCACATGCTTGGCCTTGACACTGATCATACCTTCACTGGCAGCAGTCTGTCTTCTAGAGAGCCCCATAGAGCCTCAGACGTTAATGTAAGTCAAGATTATACTTTTTCCTTTGCTTCTGTCTTTATTCTACAAGGCAGAATGTTAAAGTTTTCAACGGCAGCAGACATTTTATTGTTGGGTTGAATTGATACTCATTTCAAAATTACAAATGAAACCCTGAGACTTGTACAGTAAACATAGCCTACCTGCTGAGCAGCCCTCTTTTTCATCAAGAATTTACAGGAGCAGTAGTCCACCCCTCTCCCTTTTGTCTGTAGTTTGGATTTTAGAATGCAGAGCTGCTGATGTTGCCGGAACACAGAAAATCTCAGTACTAAGGTAGCCCGTATGTGCTTCATTTTTTTTCATTCAACCAGCAGGATAAGCAAAAAAAAAGACCCAATTCCCCCATACACACATTTGAGGTGGATGTGGGAATCCTTCCTGCTGTGCTATTGTGTTCTGACTGTGGGGAAATGTCCTCCTCCGTCAGAATACACTGATCAGTGCTGCTGGCTATAGCCAGTGGCACTGATCGATCAGGAAACACCTGACAACCTGGCTATAGATCAGCTTCATAACAACCAGCCTGCCCACACATAGATCAAAATTTGGCCAGTCCCTGCTGAACTGGCCAAATTTTAATCCATGTATGGCCAGTTTAAGAGGCTTTTCACAGCCACCAATTAGATTTAAACATGCCTTGGAAATGCCCTGTATGCATCTCAAGTTGTAATCTTCCAGTACCCATACATGTCGACAGGAAAACCTGACAAATGTGGAAGTAGGCAAAGTGACAATATGTCACAAAAATGTTCATTGACCTTCAAGTGGCAGACAAAAGTACTGAGAGGAGTATGTAATCTGCACGTAACAGTTGCCACCCCCTGTACTTTAATCTATGATTTTTAGATTAGCATTCACTTCGCTAACTTTAAATGTGGCCCCACTTGAGAATTTTCATATGAATGTTTGTACAAACATTTGTTCAAAAATTTTAATACAGAAATTTCATTCACCTTTAACATTCAATTTTGGGATGAATGTAATTCCACGATCAAAAACCATATTCACTTTTGGAAATTGGTATGGGAAAAAATTTCTTCCTGCTTCAAATTTTCTTTTCAGGGCGGCCGAAAATGAATGTTGTTTTGAATGTCCTATCAGAGCTGATCACATGTAAATAGGCTTGCCGGTTATCTGCAATCATTTCCTCACACTCTGTGTGAGGAAATGAAAGCCATTTACCGGCAAGACTGTCAGTACACAGTTAACACTGATAATCAGGACACTGATCATGAGTGCCCTGATTATTGTTGGGAATGCAACAGCATGTACTATAATGTACTATATACAGTATTCTGTGTTAATATCACTTGACCAGTAGATGGCACTATACACTAAAGGTTACTAGTTGTGTATGTGTAAAACTTGCTGATACTTTCTTCTTCTCTATCATCTCTTCAGGAACTAATGTGTCTGTAATATGTCTGCTGCAATGTGCTCTGTATGTTTGTAACTTAAGCCACACAAGTAAAGTCATAATTTTGCCTCATCACTACCAGTGTCTTCTATAACACATAACCAACAATTATCAGTTCAGCCCCATCAGTGCAGCATATCAATGCCACCTTATCAGTGCAGCCTCATTAGTGCCCATCAGTGCAACATCATCGATACCCATCAGTGCAGCCTCATCAGAGCACATCGGTGAAGAAGAAAAAGTACTTTTGCAAAATTATATAACAGAAAGAAAAAACATTTTTTTTTTTCAAAATGTTTGCTCTTTTTTCATTTGTTTGGGAAAAAAAAACCCAGTGGTGGTGCAATGCCACCAAAAGAAAGCTCTGTCTGTGTCTACTCCTATGAAATTTGTATCATTTTTTTGAGACATAGTGTTGCATGACCACGCAATTGTCATTTGCAACAGCATTAAAAGCTGCAAATTGCCCGGGCAGGAGGGGGATAAAAGTGCCCATACTGAAGTGGTTAATACTGCTTTAAAGTGTTACTAAACCCGCAACAGTAAAATCAGTCTGTATATGCAGTAAAGCATGCTTGTTATACTCACTGTGTAACCTAAGAGGTTAATCCCCCGCATTGTGTAAAAAGGATGTTTGATCCTGACTTCTCTGATCCTCCCCTTTTCCAGTGTCCCCCTCTTATCCTCTTATAAGACATATAGTGTGGAGACACTCTGCACATGCTCAGTTCAGTGTGTATTGTTAGAGACTTTTTTTTTTTTTTTCCTTGGGAGAGTGCATGTGATCAGCACAGGGCCAATAAGCACTGTCCAGACAGAGGTCAGGGTTTCTGCATCCTCCTAGAGCAGAAAGAAAAGTCCTCCTACAAGCTTTAACCAGTGCTCTGCTGAACACTGATAAAAGTCACAAGACTGCTCTAACTGCTGATGAGAAAAGGTAATTAGCAGTTTATATTTACTATAATAATTGCATTTCCATGTCAGAGAGCAGATATAGTAAATGCAGGGTCTTGGGATTAGTAACACTTTAAGGCTGGCACGGATTCTTTTTTTTCCCAAAGGCTCCTATAGAAAGATTTTCTATCTTTTTTGTCTGCACCATCCAAAACACACAAGGGAATCATCATGTGCAAAAAGGTCTTTTGGCTTGTTCTGCATTATAGAGAATCCACCTGGGCAGTGTGATACCTTTTTATGGCTTTTTACTGGCTGTGGTATTTGGGAAAACTCAGAATTTTGTGGGAATATTTCCCCAGGGGGTAATAAGAGATATAAAATGGCAGTATCAAATTGCTAGCAACCACTAAAAACAGATGGATTTTGATTTCCTACTTTATAGCAAATGTGTCCATTAGGCCTCTGATAAATAGAGTATATGATTTGTCAGTCCGAAAAAGAGAGCGTTGGCTTGGGCTAGAAAATGTCACTGCTAAAACATTTGGTTTGACTTGTTGTGTACATGTACCCATAGACGTGATGAGCATTGTCTGATTATCTGCTTTGCTTGATTGGATTACTCTTAGGTTGGCCACACATTATACAATTTTCTTGTACAATTTTCATTTAGATTCCCAAAACCATAATTTTAGGTCAAACCTAAACACTTTGAATTTGTAGGAAGGAAATGTAATAAGAAAATTGTATAATGTATGGCCAGCCTAAGGTATATGGGCAACAGTGGACAGCACCTGACAACCACAGTAGAGGTAACATTTGCCTTGTTGGATCACTTTTGGTCACTTGCAGCAGCTTTCTACCAAATACCTGCTAGTGTCAGGCCCCACTTCCTCCCTCCGTCCCTCCCACCACCACCTTCTTTATAGGCCTAAACACAAAAACATGCACAATCAGAAAGTCTGAGTGTGTGTTCTTCAGAGTATAGTGGTGTAAAAAAAAAAAAAATTTGGCAACGTGATCATACTTTCACTGCTGTTTACTCTCTGTTGTCTCATGAAGCTGAAACCTTCATGAGACAACAGATAGTATTTGCTAATGTAATGTCACTTGACATTAGGAATGCCAGTTCAGATATTCCACCCCCTTGTTTAAACAAACTGAATTTAGTCAGCCTTCATACACCTCTGTGTGGTACAGGCTGTGTTAATTTAGAATATTTTCATCATATTTTTCATCAGTGGCATGTTTCAATGATCAAAATTAGACGAAAATCAAATCGAGTGTTCGTCAATTGATGAAAACTATGACAAAAGGCAGATCCAATTTTCTGTAACGAATGATAACTAAATGAAAATGAGGGCCAGTTCACATATGTGCGAATTGGATGCATTTGAACCGCATCTAATTTGCATGACATGTGAAATTCTATTTCTGTTGTGCCTGTTCACATAAATTCAGTGCACCCAAGGTGCGACTTTAGTGCAAATTTCTGAGCAGTGTGCTGCGATTCAGATGCAAGTTACAGGTTCATTAACTTCTATGAGAACCTTCTGAATCGCACGTCATCAGTTTTGAATACAATTTTAGCACGGTTTGTTTTCTAGTCACAGAATTGGCAGCTGTATGAAAAATCCTGTCCTGAACCTGATCTAAACCTTTCCTGAACTGGATCTAAATCTGTCCTGAACAATTATTTTGTCAATCCTGAGGGAGGAACATTTACCTGCTTGTGTTTATAAAGACCTTATATATCACAACGGCTAAATCTGTGTCTGTAGTGCATGTTCAATAACCTTAATATCATAAACAATATGTTATTAGATTTTTACTTCAGGAGTGCATATGAGTTTGAAAATTCTAGAGAAATGCTTAAATAATGCATTACACTTTAACTAAACCCATTAGGTTTTAGTGGACTAAAATTATTTCAGTTACCTAAAATGTACTGAAGATTTTAGGATATTTTAGTCGATTTAAAATGTCTAGAGATTGTAGTCGACTGAAATACGACTAACACTAAAACAATTTAGATGACTAAAATACAACTTAAACTAAAATGGCATTTTAGTCAAAAGACTATGTCTAAAACTAAATAGAAATTTAGCGTCAAAACACTGAATACAGGATTGTTATAATTACCTCTTGCCAATTTATTTTGTTTGTGTTTTTTCAGTTTCCAAACTCCTCCTCTAATGATGGGTGCCCTAGAGGCAAACCTTAAGCTGAGAAAAGCTGAGCGCCTGTATGAGGGCCAGTTAGCAGGCCCAGAATCCATTGCAAATATTGGTGGTGAGTTATCATTTTAGGTTTTTGATCATTATTCTTGGTATCAACAATATGGGGCAGGCATAGCTTGAAAATGAATGAAAATGGGGCGAGCATTTGTAGAGGATTCATAAAAGGCTTTGTCCTGAAATTTTGTAAAAGGATAGTTTGTAGAAAGATGTTTGCTTCATGGGGCTGCATAGTAAAGATCACCAGAGGCCCGTGGTTTAGTATGCTGTTGACATATGGTCACCTTAAAGTGTACACTATATTCCCAAAAGTATTTGGACACCTGCCTTTACACACACATGAACTTTAATGGCATCCCAGTCTTCGTTCCTAGGGTTCAATATTGAGTTGGCCCACCCTTTGCAGCTATAACAGCTTCATCTATTCTGGGAAGGCCGTCCACAAGGTTTAGGAGTGTATCTATGGGAATGTTTGACCATTCTTCCAGAAGTGCATTTGTGAGGTCAGGCACGGATGTCGGACTAGAATGCCTGGCTCACAGTCTCCGCTCTAATTCATCCCAAGGGTATTCTATCAGGTAAGGTTAAGACTCTCTACAGGCCAGTCAAGTTCCTCTACCCCTGACTTACTCATCCATGTCTTTATGGACCTTGTTGTGTGCACTGGTGCGCAGTCATGTAGGAACAGGAAGGGGGCCATCCTCAAACTGTTTCCACAAGGTTGGGAGCATGAAATTGTCTAAAATGTCTTGGTATGCTGACACATTATAAGAATTCCCATCACTGGAACTAAGGGGTCAAAAACAACCCCGCATCATAATCCCCCCTCCACCAAACTTTACACTTGGCAGAATGCAGTCAGGCAAGTACCTTTCTCCTGGCAACCACCAAACCCAGGCATGTCCATCGGATTGCCAAACAGAGAAGCGTGTTTTCGTCACTCCAGAGAATACATCTCCAGTGCTCTAGACTCCTGTGGTGGCATGCTTTACACCACTGCATTCGGCACTTTGCCTTGCACTTGGTGATGTAAGGCTTTGATGCAGCTGCTTGACCATGGAAACCCATTCTATGAAGCTCTCTACGAACTGTTGTGCTAATCTGAAGGCCACACGAAGTTTGGAGGCCTTTAGCTATTGACTCTGCAGACAGTTGGCAACTTCTGCGCACTGTGGGCTTCAGCATGTGCTGACCCCGCTCTGTCATTTAACATGGCCTATCACTTTGTGAGTTGCAGTTGTTCCCAGTTGATTCCACTTTGCTATGATACCACTAACAGTTGACCGTCTAATATTTAGTAACAAGGAACTTTCACGGATGGACTTATTGCACAGGTGGCAGCTTATCACAGTCCCATGCTTGAATTCACTGAGCTCCTGAGAGTGACCCGTTCTTTCACAAATATTTGTAGAAGCAGTCTGCATGCCTAGGTGCTTGATTTTATACACCTTTGGCCATGGAGGTGATTGAAACACCTGAATACAATGAATTGGAGGGATGTCCCAATACTTTTTGGTATGAAGCACAATTTTGATCTCTCATATTTCAGTTCATGGGCCTAGATATGGTAAAGAGGTATCCAGGAGGAAGAGATTGGGACAGGTTGGTTCTTCAAAAAGAAACATTTTGGATAGAAAGGTTGGCAGCAAACATAAAGCCTGGCAGCAAACATAAAGCTGGGCCTCAATGAGATGCTCTCGTATAAATCTTTTCTTTAATGGTCAGTGATGTAGACTCGATGGTTTGTCATTACAAATTTCCACCTTTTTTTTTCCTTTCAGAGGATGTAGCCCATCCACAGTTGGTCATCGGGATGTGCAGAGATACTTGGGTCCCCCACACCTTTTGTTGCAGGTGTTAGGACCTCACTAGTATATGTCCCCCTGAGGTGGTGCATTGTCATCATTTGGGGGGTTTTTTTTTTTGTCCCTTTTTGTGGTGCTGTCTCACTTCATTAGGGGGCAGGGTCCCCTTTACGTGCTCCACTATTGGCGATGGACAGGTGGTTTTCCCGGCTATTTGGGTGATTGTCTTTCATTCCCTATTGAGCAGCGTAGATGGGTTGGGACGTGTGCTCAGTGGACTGCTACTGACGATTCTCTGCCAGCGTCACTGCACATACGTGGCGACCATCTTGGCTTTCCATGTGCTGTGTATTCCACGTTTGCCAGTATACCAACTGGGCGGTACACATGCCTGGTGGCCGTTTTGACCGCTCGTTCATGCACACCATGGTGATTTCCAGCTGGAGATGACGTCACATGCCGTTGATTACCTGGCGATGGCACTCCAGGGGAGGGGGAGTTTATATCTGGGGCCTGTTTCACGGAACCCCTGGGAGAGCGGTCATACCTGCATGCAGCAAAAGTGACCAGCCTTTCTTGGAAATAGGCAGGGGTAAGCTTTTATCCCTTTTTTTTTTTTTTACTGGTGACAGCCTGTTATTTGTTATGATTTATATTTGTTTCTATTTTTGCCTCCTTTTTTTTCCTGCCTTTTCTGTACTATGAGTGTGCTGGTATATATTTTTCAGATTTGGGGAATTCATCCTATGTACCCATTTCCCAGCTTAATAAGAAGTCATCATACACCATTTCTTCTCTGGAAGATCTCACACTCATGTTACCATTATGGCTGAGCCCCGCCTAATTGTTCTTCTATTCCTTTTTGAGTTGCACTAAAGTTTTTGGATTTATGGAATCCATAGCTGTATAAGTGGTCTAGTTTAGGTGAGCATAGTATACTATGTGTAAAAATAATCTCCACGTTCCCCTTGTTTTTGTGATGGATAGTGACAAATATGGGGTTTAATGTGTATTACCTTTATAAGTTGAGTGTTTCCTGTTGGGGCTGTGGTGTGGGCCTTGCTATATGCCCCCCAAATCTACACGTGGGGGATACACATTTCCTGCATATCGGGATGACCTACTGGGCGGTCTCCTCCATCCTGTCTAATCTGACCCTATTTCCCGGTGTCTCTGTGCTGGTACCATCTTCATACAGGCTGTCTGTATGTATGAAGTTCTACCACAGTTCACACTAATTATGCATATATTTAAATGGTATTTGTTGATATATTGTCTTGGATGCTTTATCTGCAGTCAGCAGCTTTAGTCCTCCTTAGGAAGCAGGTATAATATTCTGCAAAACATGTAGAAAAACAGTTATCCACTGCTGAATAGAATCTGATTCAATTCAATACTTCAGGACTATTACAATACAATATAGGATCAAACTATTGTGTATGACTAATTGCTGCTCCTGTGTTGAGGTTTTTTTTAATTGCCTTGTGTTTATCGTTGTGTACTAATAAAGATTACAAAGGAGGTTATATACCTCTTATATTTTATAATAGTGTCTTGTGCGATACTTCTTGGAGCACCTCTAAAGTCCAGCGGTAATACCTCCTTTTTTTTCTCCAGTTATTCTAAACAGTTTTGGATGCGAGGCCCCACTCTGTTCCAGGATATTACCACCACAGGCCTATTTACCTTCATATTCTTTAAAGCCCATTTGTGGGCAGCAAAAATATTACCCTTGTAATGGGGTCACCAAAACCTTCCTTTAGCCTAGGGCAGACTAGAGAAGAGTTAGAAACTTTACAGTTTTTCCTTTCTTTGGGAAGATTTCCTTTTTAATTCGTGTTTTTTGGTAGAGAATTTGAGGAGAAATTTCCCCAGTAGAAGACTATCAACAATAAAAGCTCAACAGATGATGTAACACTATTATATCCAAAACCTAATATCTGAAACATAAACTAAGGTTTTTAGGTGAAATTACTCTTTAGTTTTCCAGAATCCTTAAAGTTGAAATAACCGATCCTTTACTAGAAATGTTTGGTTTTTAGGATAATTATTTTTTTTCTAGCAATTATAATTCTGCATTATCAGAATTTCAGAACTGTTGTGATAAGTTAGGGGTGTTTGAAGAGGCACACAGACTCTTCTAAAAAATTTAATAATACTGAAGTTAAGAGATTTTTGTCCCGGTTTTCAACATGTAGTCATCTTTGTAGGTAATTTCTGGATAATTGATGATATATTTTCATCTGCCACCTCAGATTATTAGTTCCTAGTTACGTTAGTCATATACCTGAAAACCCATTCAGATCCATCAACACCTCTCATTGTAAATCGTTTGCTTTAGTGTTCGTAGGAAATAAAGTAAAATAAGGTATTTGTGAATGCATACGCTATAATGAGAGAATTCTTGGAACTCTCAGTGAAGGGAATTGTAAAGATTGTTTTGACTTTAACCATATTCTTGTATTTATAAACATTTCTTTTAGATGTCCTGTATACTGGTACTGCTGATGGGCAGATTGTGAAAATCGAAGATGACAAAGTCCACACCATTGCAAGACTGGGTACACCTCCCTGTGGTAAGGCTGTCTATAGGTTTTTTCAACATATTTTCTATAATTGTTATGGTCAGAATTGAAAAGCAATGTGTAAAAAAAAAAAAAAAAAAAAAATGTATTTTGTCTTGGGTAAATAAGAAATATTGCATAGGAATATTATATATTCTTATCTTCATCTGGCAGGTAGACCCTTAAACTCCTTTAACATACTTTCTGGGCAATCTTTTTTTTCCTTACCAGAAAGAAAACTGTTTGACATTTACAAACCCAACTGAATGAACCAGAGAACTGACACAGTTCCCTCACTTCTAGCATGTGGGGGCTATACAGAGTTTTAAAGAATATGTAAACCCAAAATTTCATATTGCTGATATGTGCCTGCTGTACCATGTATTTGTATGAAAAAGTATGCTGTCCTCTTTGTATTGCTTTCTTTGTGTGAAATTCCTGGTGTTCCTGCCAATCCCTCTGCTTTCCTATGAAAAAGTGACCACACGGCATGCCCCATGCTGGGCCACTTCTGGACCAGGGTCTTCTTGCTGTTGCATTCTTTACATTGAACGCTTGCTACAGACCCTTGGCTGGCGCTTTTACATTTTAAACCCTTGAGCATTACCAAGTATCATTTCCAGTTGGTCCAATTTGTCCTACTAGCTTCTAAACTTACAATTGCTAAGGCGTGGAAAAAAAAAAAAAAACAATTTACCCATTTGTCAGAAGTTGAATCTCGCCTTTATGGCATTTTTATTATTGAGCAATTGACTAGTATTCTTACTAATACCCAAGCAAAATTTCTTAAAATCTGGAGCCCATGGCTCACATACCAACATCCAACCATCTCTTTGGCGAACTTGACAGCCGCCTAAGTCCATGCGTCCCACCCCCCTCCTGTTCCTCTCTTCTTTCCTCCCTCTTTCTTTTGTCTATTCTCACCTCTTTTTCTAACGGAACCTAGGTCTCCCTGATGGAGCACTATTACTCCCACTAACACCAATGATGGTAACATTGCTGACCCTTCCTCTAGCCCGGGCTCCCTCCCTCTCCCATCCACAGCCAGCATACCTGGCTGCAGCAGCACCGTCTGCTCTCCCCAGATCCCGGCCGCACAGCACAGACACTTACCGATCAGCTGTCTTCCTTGTCTGGCCGCTCTCCTCCTCTTCACCGACTCCGTCAGCTTCCTCGTGCTGCCGCTCGGCTCCTCCTCTCTGCCTGTGTGCTTTCCCTGGGCTACAGATCTGGTGGCGGAGGCAGAGCTTGCAGAGGGAGGGACAGGCTGCCATAGGCCGCCCTATGATCCCGGGGTGTGGCTAGATAAGAGAGGGGCAGGTTGGCATGTCACCCAGAAGGAAAATTCCCACCCACATCGCACTGGCATCTGTGATCCATGATCATCCACCCAGCAAATGAGGACATCAGACACCCTCTCTACCCCTCCTCCAGCAGCGCCTTCGTGGATCGGATCAAATCGAAGTGGGACACGGGTAAGATGCATAACAGCCCCTGTCCTAAGTGCCACGTCTGTGGAAGGGGGTGGCAGCGGCACGCCGCCACCCTGAAAAGTGCCGCCCTAGGCATACGCCTTGATTGCCTCACGGCAAATGCGCCCCTGCATGTGAGCACAGCGTGGACAGTGTTCCGACTCTGCTGGAACTCAGCCTGCACTCCAATGATCAGACTTGTCCTTCTTGACATCCTCCCCTTCCCCAAACAGCCATTCAGTCGGAAGATCAGTGTACTGCTGTTTCTCCTCCTTAAGCTCTTTTATACAGCTAAGAACAGATTGTTTGTGATCACAAAAAAATAGGGAAAAAGGGTATTTATAATATTTTTATAGGTATATACAAATGTTTTGCCTTTCATTTCTATTTTAAACTCAATGGGTTGTTTTACAAAGGAGGTTTTCATATATTTTTTAATCAGAGATGAAAAAGGCAAAACAAATAAAATAAATAACCTGATACTGAGATCCAACAGTTTATATCCACAACAGTTACCATCTTTTCTTGCACAATAACCTACTGTAGTAAAAATTAGACTCTCATGTTCGTTATTTTCTCCATATTAATGTATATATTATGAAAGAAAACTAATTTCTTCAACTCATGTGTGATACATCATTGTTCTGAATAGTGTTACTCATTTTACTCCCCATCGCTCACGCTTATTAGATAGTGCTATTCAATCAAGTAGTCCAGGTTCTGATCAGCAGCAACATACGTGGTGACATAAGCATGTCTGTCTCCACCCAAATGCGTTTCCACAAATATGATGTCATCAGGGGTTCAGAATAGTACTGTTCACCACACATTAAATGTCTTTCTCAATGCAGGAAGGTGGAGCTACATCTCATCATTGTGCAACCTATTAATGTATATACTGTACTACTGAAACAAATCAAATTTTAGGAATCCAGTTAGAAGCAGAATAACTGGGGGGGGGGGCTGAGGTATATGAACAGCTTTCATTTGTGTGCTGCATAATTGCAGCCATGTGCTGTAATTGAATTTATTTTATAGTCACAGATGGAAACATAGCTTAACCTTGCACCTGGGAGATTATGATTGCTGAGAAACCGTGAACAATTGTGAATGGTCTTGCCACAACACAGGTTATCATGTATGCTGTAGATATGTTAGTATTTACATTGTTAAAAGGGAGTGGTAACAAATTTTAGGAGTGTGAGCTTACTCACTACCATCAGTACAAAGGTGATATTCAAACCACAGATTACAAAATTAGATAAAACCACAGCTACAGTTATGGGCAAAAAGCCCTAAATATATGCACTTTGAAGCCTAAGATGTGCAAAATACATTAGACTGAGCTTCAATGTGGAACATTTATAAGAATCACCAGCGGACATAAACAATGAAATGGAATTTACCCCCTTACATATCGTCAAGCACGTCCTGACGGGCAAAATAAAATATCACAAGATCAGTGTGGGCCTTATGAGGGAGGACTGTTAAAAATATGTAGGTTTTTATCAGGGCCTGCACTGATATTTGTGCACTAGTGTTAGTAGTATTGAGAATTTCAAACAAAATTGTAAGTTGGCATCAAATGACAATCATAGCTGGTATGTGTAAGTTGCAGTTCACAGACTGCTACCAGTCCACACCTTCATAAAATTTAGCCTCCAGATGACTCTTAAGGCTCATGTACCCTGCAGCTGATGAACTCATGTTTTAGGAGCTGTTCAGCGTTCAGCGTTTTTTTTTTTCAGCAGCCCTTGAACTCGAAACCCTAATGTTTTTCTATGTTTCCATGTACACATCGTCGTTTACAGGCAGTTGAGTTTACAGTCGTTTTTTTGAACACAGAAAAACTTGCATTCAGCAATAGATTTTATCAGCGTTTCAAACGCAAAACGCTTGTAAACGCAGCTAACCGCTTTATAGGCATTTCAAATTTTTTTTAACTCTTCCATTTCCAGATGCTGTCCAGAGCCTTTTTTCACCATGAAAAATGCATGCAAAGTGTTTTCCCGGTACTCAAATGGACCTGGTACACCATACTTTGAGGTTTTGCATGAAAAAAAAATATGTTCAACACTGCTGCAATAATTTCTGCACATAAATGAGCTGGAACACATGCAAACCCACATTAAAAAAAAGACCGCTAATCTCAGCAAATACTGCTCTCTCTGCTTCTGCTCTGTCTATTTCTCTCAAAATGTCTGAAATAGTTAATTTTTTACTGTTTTTCAGTGCTTTCTGGGCATTTTGGAAGGTATCCTGAGGTTATCTTAAAAAACCGCTTCCAATCGCAAACGCTCATAAACGCGGTATGCAAACATGGCTGAAAAGAGTTTTTTTAACCTACGTTTTTTCCAGCAGTCAGTTTCCATCGTTCAGAAGTGTCCCGAATACATGGGGCCTTATTATTAAGGCTGCTTTCACACCTGATCTGTTTTTATTCTGTTTCTGCATTACAAAAGTAGAAGAAAAGCGCATGATGTTTAAATCCTATGAAACTCTTCACACTGGTCAGTTGCGGGTCTGTTGCGTTTTTGAAAGTCCTGCTTGCTGCATTTTTGTACATGTTTGGCGCAGTAACAAAAACACACCTCCCTATTGAAATGAATAGAAAAATGCATCACAAACGCACCCACGGTTGCATTTTTGAGTCACATGGTTTTTGTTTTTTCACAGATGCAAAACGCATCGGAAACATGGCAAAAACACAGTAAAAATGCAGCAAAAAGGTATATGTGTTTTTGCAAGGGAGCAGTGTTAAAAGTAATCTAAGTTAAGCAAACACACATACACACATCAATCTCACCTGCTGTCAAAACCTGCGATAGCTTTGTCTTCCATTTTTAGCTTTCTAAATGTAATGACATCAATATATAAGAAAACAAGCATGCAGCGCTCCTATATGATATGAGGTAAACAAAATACCAAACACATGTATGTTACTTCGAATTTAAGATATATGCATATAAATGTGCAAAATAGTGCATAGCGCATGTAGCTATATATCGCCGAGCATGGATAAATTCATGAATGGATTTCCAAAGTTACAACGTGAAGATGAGTGACAGTCTGTTTATAGCAAACATCAAAATATTCGTGACATCAGATGGTGAAGAAATGAGAATAATATGCACTAACCAGATAGCGCTATAAAAACGCATGTAGGTGATGGACAAAAATATCTAAGTGCAGCATTACTTTATTCAGGATTATCAGAGAAATGATAAAATATAACTCACATGATATGCAAACAAAGGCCCACTGGCCAGACATAAGGGGTCCACGTGGATAGAAAGTCACTGAGGGCAGCTTTCTTAAGAATATTTTTGTCCTTTGGCTCTTTTCTGCTTGAGCCAATTTTCCCCAAGGAAACTATTGGATATTCTTCTGAGCTCTTTCTGCCCCTGGTGGTCGGCGAACATACTATATACTTTGGGATACCTGGTCTGAAGAGATCCTGGTTGCTGGCTCCCTCCGGTGGTCTTCAATCATAGCTCTGCCATTTGGAAATCCTGTTGTAATGCTGCGATAGATGTTCCC